ATGTCTAAATTGTAATGAAGGGCTTGACGCTCCTGAGTGGTGGATCTACTCCATACTCTGTGGCTCTGGCCAGTTCCATGGTCCATCCTCTTTATCTCTGAGACCTTATGTACTATTATACAGTACAGTACTTCCAAGTTGAGATACTTCAGTAGGTTGTACTGACACAGCCTGCTTCCTTTATTCCTTACTTGCTTCATCAGAATACTGCAGGTCACTTTTCAGCTGATTGACCTGCAGGTCATAAAATAGGATTAAAGTATGATGTACCATTATGTGACCAAGAGAAGTGACTAGAGACCTGGAGTTGAAGTTTGTCCTGCTTTGTTTTATGAGTTTTGTTGTTGAAAGAAGAAATTCAAGTTCTAAGTTTATGATGAGTTTGAATTAAGTGAACTGGCCCCAGGGTTTCTCCTAGTAACCTTTTGAAGTAATCACTGGGTTGGGGTTGGAGCTTCCTTTAAAGATTCTGATTTGAATGGGTTCTTGACTTTTTAAGGAGCAATCTGACAGGACAGTGCCCCTTCCTCCTGAATAAAGAGTCTCCAGGACTAGGTAAGCTCTTTCAGGGTGTTTTGGTGATGCATACTAGCAGGCCACTTGTCTCATCCCCTCAGCCAGAAAATGGGATTTCAGTTTTACCCCATGTCTTTTTATTGGTAAATTTAATACAAGATTTTGTCTGCCGTTTGATGAAAAAGAGATTTGTAAATTATATTATAGCAAAGTCTAGCCTTAGTTCTCACATAAAATTATTAGAAATACTTAAAATACCGGTAGGTTACACAATCATAGTTTGTATTTTACAAATTTACTTTCTAATGCAAGGCTTATTTTGTCTAATTCTTATGCTAATTCATATCTCAAAGTGTTTATTGAATGCTGTTGCTTTTTTCATATTGCAGTAGCTTTTGCCATTCTAAAATGACCTTACCCCTAATACAGTACTGTAGCTACATCATCCTCTGTCATTATAACATCCCTGATTGTTACATAACACTTCATTACCTCCTGTAGCTCAAGGATCTTATGATAGTCCTTTACAAATTTCACCAAGTCATTTTTAAATTATCCCCAGGAGACTTGTAGCAACGGATTTAAGTTGGATAAGTTTAGGTTTAGGAGGGAGATAGGAAGGAACTGGTTCACAAATAGGGTGGTAGATGAGTGGAACAAGCTTAGCAATTTGTGTTCAGTGCTGGAATGCTGGAAAGTTTTAAAAGATGGCTAGATAGATTTTGGATGATAGAGAGTGGTAGGAACTCCCGACAGGAGCTGCCATGCACTGGCCGACCAGCCTATTGCAGACTCCTTATGTTCTTCTGCCCAACAAAATATCCCAAGTCTGTATGTTGAGAATGGAAGGGTCAACCCATTTCAAATATACTTGATAGGTTCTTCAGTTAAGAGATTTAGCCATGATTAACTCCCAGGGTCATTTTTAAGTCTCCATGATTTTATTTATTTATTTTTATTATTATATATTCACGGAATAGCCCACCCGGGCACAGGTCATCGACCCACATCGGGGCCTGGGGGGGGGGGAATAAGAATAAAACGGAATTAAAAATAGAAAAGGAAAAGGTTATATTAATCTACACCACGAAGATGCTGGAAAACCAGCTTTTTAAAGTAAGACAGATTATATGAGTATGGAAACACAGAAGAAGGCAGAGCATTCCACAGTTTGGCTGTGTGAGGAAAGAAAGTTGTACTATAATGGGTTATTCTCGTGTGACCAACATCCACAGAGAAACGGTGGGCACCGCGGGCAAGATGAGTGTTATGAGCCCACGGCCTTGCCGGCGGTACACAGGATGCCAAATCCACCGAACATTGCCTGTTAAAGAGAGTGAAGCAACATTGTGGTGAAGAGAAAGGGAAGAAAGATTATCAACTAAAGGAGGAGAGTTAATAAGACGAAATTCCTTTGATTCCGCCTTATCTAACAATTGAACAGAAGAAGAGCCACCCCAGATATGAGAGCAGTACTTCAAGTTAGGATGAATGAATCCCTTATATACTTGAAGCAACTGCTCAGGAGTGAAGTAGCTACGGCATATGTACAGCATTCCCAGCTTTTGGGAGGCAGCTTTATCAATGTTGAGGATGTGTGGCTTCCATGACATATTAGAGGAAATGGTGAGGCCTAGCATATCTATTTTAGAATTTGGCAGAATGAGTGTCCTGACGTGATTGGTGGGAGATCATCTAATTTGGAAAGTGTAATTGGTAAATACTGAGTTTTAATACTATTGAATTTAACTAAGTTTCTACCTCCCCATTCGGAGATGGTGCACAGATCCGCATTGATAGATGAAATGATATCAGCTCTAGAAACGGATCTAGTTTGAGAGTTAGGAGGAAGGGGAAAATGTGAAGAAGAGTGAAGAGTAGTATCATCAGCATAAGAATGGATAGAATTACCCGGTAGTTGAAGTGTGAAGTAATAAAAAGAAGGAAGAGAGTACATTCAGGACATTAAAACTTGGAGTCAGGGAAAGTTTATATGATTGGTGGCAGTGACAGTGCTCAGGTAGTATTATTATTATACTACAGGTGTATGTAATTTGTAGAGGATGTTACCGGTCTTTTGATAAGCTTGTATTATTACTATTATCCCTCTGGTACTCCTGGCCATGGTCGGAAATCTCACCCCCTCGCAGTCTTTCGATGCAGGTGGCATCGGTGACAGGAATGACTTTTCCATTTTGATAAACATTGTGTAGAGCAATTCAGACCCAAATTGCACCCTTAGAGATGCATCTGCCAGCCCACGAGGCCAGTGGGAGGAACTCGGGTGGTTGATGGGGCTGATCCACTGTTCCTGCATTTCTGCTTACGGAAAGGATGCTGTTAGTGTGAGATACGACTGAGTGGGAGGGATTGAGCCGGCACAAGAGTGTTTAGCGACACATTTTGCGATGAAAGACCACAAGAGGGTTAATTGTGTTAGAGGTTTAAGCATTACCGGGCAATAGAAATATGTCCAGTACAGTATACTTCTGAAGTTCAAAATTTTTATATACCATCTGTACTATACTGTACATATTTTTTAAGTTTTCCTTTTTTTTTAAATTATATGTTAATGATTATAAAGTAACCTAGTGTGTTGTGTTAAGATAGGTAGGTATATTTTTTAGTAAGAAATGAACACTCTCACTCTAGGTTCAGCGAATCATACTAGGAACACCGTATAATTTGGCTATAGATCTAACCATCTGAACACCCTAGTCAGACTCTACTAAAACATGTGTAACTGTGTGTCATCTTTTCATCTGTACAGTACATACCTTCCTGCCCTTCAGCTTCTCTACTTGTAGTTGTAGATTATTTATAATATTTCCCAATAGCATGACAGTTCACGTTCATATTTTCACGTTATTTTTTATTTTTATTACTGTACCGTACAGTGAAACCTCCATATAACAAACTTCTCTCTCCGTTTGATGGGGGTTTCACATCTAACAGACCCTCGATATAATGGACTTTCATCTCCATATATTCCTTTAAATTGAGGTTTACTGTATGTCAGTTACCATTGTAATATGCTGTCTTAACCTTAGTTCCTCCACATGTTTCACTTACACTTCACCTTTCCTGCCTCACTGTATTCCAGGACACCTTACCTAGTTTATTGTTGTAACTTGAGACACATGGCACCTTTACCATTACAGCACTTGGGTTCACGAGTTCTCTAAGGGGGTAAGTAGGGAGAGAGTCGAGGGATGTGTGCACTAGTGCAGAATGTGTAGGTGCTGTTGTACTCCATCCTACCTTCACTTCTCATGTAGTGTGTTGATGCCACCTACAAAAATGTTTCCATCTCCATCAAACTCAAAACACTTATAAACACAAACATTGGACAGCAAAAAAGGACCACACACACAGCATTATACTGTTCAAACAATTCACCTACTCAGTAATAGAATATGAATGCCTAAACCAGGTCCTAGAAACTTGTGGCTCCAGCATTGAAAAAGCTCCAAAGAACCCAAAACAAAGCCCTCAAAACAGTAAGAAGCTTCGACTAAACCACAAAGATTAGCAGTTTACATTCTGGGTCAAGAGTTCTTTCCATGTGGAGCACACAGCTCATTGTCTCAACACAGCACCCTACTCATTCCTTCTACTTCATGTTGAATCGCCTTACTCCTCAGACAAAATTTGTACCACAGGGCAACAATATTCCCCCTCATAACAAAATCCAACCTATACTTGTAAGTGTTGAACATCCACATATATAATAATTAAACCTAATTTGTCCCAAGGCTCCAGCTACACATTGTACTGCTATCTATTATCTACATTTCAGAAACTCAAAGTGAGAGTACTTGCCAACAGTCAACATTGTGGTCACTACCTTCTCAAAATGAATGTCACCACAGTATCCGACTCGCCCAAATTCCTTTGTATCCACATTGCACTGTTACCCCACACAGTACAACTTATTGACTCACCACATATCCAAGATTCATCCAGCACAGAAAACCTTTCGAGATAACTACAATAGCTAAATGGTCTCCGTTACCAACTACAAATTGTCACTGAATACCCGAGGTTCATTGGCCTCACGGCTCCTTTCTCCATATTCAATATGCCATACTAGAGTGCAGTCCTTCGTCTTCCTCCCCCTGTAATCCATGATGCTGTTATATACTGTATCTTCCTCATCCTAGACATTCCATTCTGCATCCTTATCATACATCCTCGGTATACTGACAAACTGTTCATTCCACTTACCCACTAGTCTCCATACAGTCCAGTCCGTTGATCTCACTCACCTTACAGTCTCAATACAGTTCATTCCACTATCCTACAGTCTTAATATTAGCTTCATTTACTGCCATCTTTATTGCCCATCTCTTCTTATTGTCTTGGCTGCTGTATCTAATAAGTATCCCAGTATAGAGATCCTTACAGTACAGTACAACCTGCTCTCACTTGTGTTCCCTCACCTTGGTTATCCCTTGATTAAACTGCCCCTGTTGCTGTTACAGGAGTGATGCTAATGCTACTCAGGAGTATGGCCCAGGCTGTCAATGGACCGACAATGTAAGCTACCCATGCTTTTTGTTCTCCTCTTGCTGTAATTTTATTATAGTTTGGAGTTACTGAACTGCCCTTTGTAAAGATCATGCAAGTATTATCTCCATTAATTTTAGTGCTATGGGTAATAGTGAATTAGTTATATGGTAATGAAATTATTTTTCTATGATGGATAATCCCTAGTCAGTGACCCTGTATTGTTTCACACCTGCTAATACAACAGTTGAGGTATTGAAGATTTACAATACATAATAAGTCTTCCTGTGGTGTCACTTAGGAAGAAGGATTCAGAGTTAACACCACTGTTTCTTGCACCAGTGTACTGTGCAGTATGTGTTTGTAATATTTAAACTTAGGTCTTAATTTGGATTTTTATTTTGTTTTAAATTTATTATATAGAATAAATTTACATCCCTTTATTTTCTTAAGTCAGTGTGCATTAGGAGTCATTGTGGTTAGTGAGGTACAGTACAGTATTCATTAAAAGGTTTTATTATTTCAGGTAGATTTACAGATAATAGCAGGTGCTTAGGTTAGATTAATTTGGAATTCAACATATGTCAGTGGTACCTGAACTAACCCTTAGAAATGGTAGGTTATGAAGGTTTCCTAGTAGCGATCTTACTTCTTTTTTATATTATTTTTGTGTAATCATTATATTTTTATTACTACTGCTACAATATCATATTGTTTATAATTTAAATTGTTTCTAATAATTATTTATTTCCAATAACCTTGGTCAACTATGATGTAATTCTTATTGTTATATAAAAAAGTACAGTAAATAACATATTTGTAGCCACTTGTTTTATAGTTTTTACTTAAAATTATTTGTTTACAATATTTCTATGGAAAAGACAACTGAACACTTATTTTCCTGAGTGTTGACCATCATTAAAATCCATTTTACAATACTTAAGTTTTAAGAACTTTGTACTAAGATACAGTTTTATACATAACAATATTTCTTTCTTTATATTTCTAATCACTAATTAATATTAAAGCTGTTGCTCATTCACTATACACTATGCTCAATATGCCTCACCTTCAGTATTGCTTTCTCTCTCCTCCTTGCCAGTGCCTTCTAAGAGCAGCTTGATGTGCTAACATTGCTTCACAATATAAGTGTATCAAGAAGTGCCTTTTGGGCAATGGTCTTGATACGTCGTCATCTTCCCATCTCTTGCTAAGGCTAGTTCAGCATGCATGATTCACTTTTGAAGTACAGTATTGTATGGCATTGATTACCCCCCAGTGTTAATACCTTAGGTACTTGAAATTCCAGATGGATGGAAAATGTGTTATCAGATTATGCTGGGGATAATGTGGTTGTGTGCATAAAGGGATAATTTCAAACTGCTTTCTAATGCTCTAATAAATTTTTTTCACATGTAAAAATAGAATTTTTGTCAATTAAAATCGGGGAAATGTGTGTGATATTGTGTAGATGTCTCTTGGTCTGTCTCTGTGACCTTGGCTATTAACAGACACGCATCTTGTAGCGTGATAAGTCCTAACATCTTTGTTGAAATTTGACAGGATATTTATCCCTAGAATTTGGGTTAAGGTAACATTCAGACAGTCACTGATCTCTTGTGACTTTCTTGTTACAAACATGCAGGAGTAATGGGTCATTGTAAGTACAGTACAGTACTGTAAGGCTATCCACTAGTTATGAACACCCACACTCATGAACCGGATCCCAATGTATTCACCACAAAAATCTGTAACTAAAATACCATTTCTTATGTTACTTTCATTTCACTGTATTGTTTAACATCACTTTATTTACAGTAGTTTTTATGTATGGAATATTATTGTTGTTTTGAATGGACAATTAACCTAACCTAAACTATGGCATTAACACTGTTCTGACTTAAGGACAGGGTCCAGGAAGGTAACCCGTCTGTAACTCGAGTACTGACCGTACAGCTGGTTACCTATTTAACATCTTCACCACTTTAATATATCTATGCCATTGAAAATGTTCACACAGCAGCCCAGCAATGGTTGTAAAATGTTCAACTCGTCCAGCTGTTTCTTGACCCAAGACCAATACTGGTACACTCGTATACCTCTGTTGTATTGGTTATGTATGTTCTCCTCAGCCTTAGTCATAAGACACTCTTCCCCAGTATTGAGACCTTCTACTTAGCAAGCAGATTATTGATGGAAAATATGCATATAGGTATTAAGTTCCTTGATTTATGCTTAATTTGTTTTCTTTAGTTCTTGTTGTAGTTGGTACTGTACTTTATAACTACACTTCTCTTTGTTCTTGTTATCTTCTCTGTTTTTACATTGGTCTTCGTAACGTCAGTAACTCGGTTATCATTTTCGCCACTTGTTGGCTTACTAGCAAGTTGGGCGACCTCGTAATTTTTTCATTTAGAACAAATATTCGAGAAAATATAATTTAGCCCAGTACAGTAGGGTCGGGATATATTGCAGAATAGGTTCCAACAATGTTCGCTATATACTAAATCGCGATATATAATTACATGTAATCAATGGGGAAAATAGGGTTAGGTTCTGGAGGCCAATAAAAGTGACTGAACTTGACTTAACGAGTTTATTTTCTTACTAACTAAAGCACCATTGAACACTAGACTCGGGAACAACAGGCTGTTTCAATATCAAGGAACACCAGACTGGCAGCTGACCCACCATCCCGGGAACACCAGACACCACACTGCCATCCTCACTTGATAATCCCACACCTTCATAAACCAACAAACCAAAAATATTAGTTACAGTATTAAATCTTTTCCATTAAGCTTTCCATTTTCTTCACTTCACTTTTCACGTCACTAGCAACCCATTTACACTCACCTTAGAAGTCGTAATCTGCAGCAGAGTCGGCTGCTTACTCGTCACTCACTCAGAAAGACTGAGCGGGCGAGCATGAATGCGTGGGTGAGCAGCCACGGTGGCGCCGCTGGTGAGCAAATAATGCATTAGTTTGCCATGGCGGTACATTTGAAATATTTCCTGCCCGATTTCCCTTTCGAAATAAATAAATTTATCACTATATATTGGAAATTTTCGATAATTTTGGTAGTTGCGATATAAAAAAATGTAATAAAAATTTGCGATATATCCTACTGTAGTTGGTCATACCATGTTTTGGAACAGTAAATTATAACATGTTCATAGATAATGTATAGTAACTCTTTACCATACAATGGATGCGTTAATGTGTTGATTATTTCCCGCCCGTTTCAGCACAACAGATGCATTGATGCATTCAGTTTTCGTCGATTTTTCCCGCTAAAATGTCGAGTCGGATAGCCCGAGTCGAATCTTGGATGTATTCCATAGTTATCCCAGACAATTCACCAACATTGAAAATGGTATGTTCTCTCTGGTGGTTGGGGGGTATATTTTACTAAACAGTAAGTCCTCTGTTAACCATGACGGTTACACTCTAGTAAACTATGACGTTATGTGAAATAACTTTAAGTGGATCATTTTTTCCATAAGAAACTTGAGAAATAAGTAGGTTATATACCCAGCCTCTCTTCATCCCTACAACATGCATCACAATTAAGACAATATAAACAAATTGTAAATACCTGTATATTCTGCACTGTAAATACATACAATATAAACTACAATAATGTTTAATTAACATTTAGTATGATATATTGTACTCAGTGATGGCCAAAGGTGAAGCAAGCGAGTGGTGGGAGGGAGGATGGCGGGAATCACCTGGGGGTAGTTGTATTTCTTCTGCTGTTTGTATTCCTTCCTTCCAAAAAAAGCATCCAGTGTTAACTACCTGCTTTGTTTCTTCTCTTTGTGTAGTTTGTAGTAGCCCTGAAGATTCTCCATGACATTCCAGTACACTTTACAGTTTCTTTCTCTAGTAGTCATCATTAGCCTACACTTCAGTCCCTCTTCTAAATGCTAGAGCAAAATCACTTGCCGGTCATTTTGAAGCTATTTCAATGGGCAAAGTTGAGCAACAACATGAACAAGAGGTACACATAACATGCGACGCATCCACGCTTGGCAGAGGTGTAAGCGAGATTAATGCTCCACGGTGACGTTGTACAGCATCACTAGGTGAGCGAGGGAAAATGTTACGCGAAGCAAAATAATACTGTACTATCTGACCAACAACGTAACAATAATTTTACACAATGTTGTGGAGCCTTGGTATAGAGATAGTATTGATGTAATAGCAAAACAGCATAAGGCGGGCACTTACTGTACTGTATATAACTTCTTAGAGTAACCTTTCAGGGCACGTCGGTTGGCAGCGCGAGAAATTAACATAGGCTTCAGCTTGAAGTTGCTAGCAGCATTTGCGCCAAGCAGCAGCGTCAAGCGGTCTTTTGCCGCTTTAAAACCCGGCACTCTTTTTTCTTCCTTGGAGATATAGGTTCTCTCAGGCATCCTCTTCCAAAAGAGACCAGTCTCATCCACATTGAAGACTTGCTTCGCTGAGTAGTCTCCTTCCTCAATGATGTTTTTGAACTCCGGCGGGAATATCTCGGCAGCAACCGTGTCTGAACTAGCAGCTTCACCAGTCATCTTAAAACGTTGAAACCATCCTCGGCTGGCCGTAGAGGTCCCATCCTTCGATCCTTCACCCTCTACTGCCTTTAAGTCATCAAACAAGGATATTGTTTTATGCTGGATAACCAGAAGGCTCACAGGGGCATTGCGTTGATTCTGGTCCTCCATCCACATAGCCAGAATCTTTTCCATCTTTTTAATCACAGAACTTCGAGCACGATTTGTCTCTGTTGCCATCAGAGAACTACCACTTCCAGCACTAGCCTTAATCTTGTCTGTGTTGGTCCAGATAGTACGCACTGTTGTGGGGGTTAGACATAGGGCAGCAGCAATGTCCACCGCACATTCGCCTTTCTCAAAACGGTTTAAAACCTCCATTTTCATAGTAAGGCTAATTGTCTTACGTTACTTCTTCACAACACTAGCATCAGTAGCACTTGATGGGCGCTTGGAAGCCATTTCAAATTGTTAGAGTACTGTAT